GGTGCGGTGGCAGGCAGACCGTGCGGTGACCGCGGAATCTCCAAAGACCAAACCGCACGGTCCCCCCCCCTAATTGAACTCAAGAAGCCGCAACAAAGTTTCCCAAGATGCCCGCGAGGCACCTCCAAAGAGACCCCACAAGACCTCCCAAATAGGCCCCAGTTGTCGATGACCCAGGCACGGTAGCGGGCGTGGTCTAATGCCACCAAGCAGCTCCACAACTGCGTATCAATCGCTGCTGATCAACCCAGCACCGCCCCAGGGACCGAGAGAGCGGAGAGTCCCAAGACGGCGCCGAGGCAGCCCAGACGGTTTTTCAGGACCTCGGACGGTGCGAACTCGTGCCTCACCAAATAGAGGAACATCCCAGACGGAAACTCGATAGGGACGTGCTCCGTTGAGCGTTGCCCTGGGCAACTGGCAACGGCGATGTCATATGAAGCCAAGTGAACGGAGGTACAAAGGAGAGGTCATGAGGATCGGGAATCAAGAAATCACACGACATCATGCAGTTCAACGGGTCAACGGCGTGCTGTCAGACTTCGATGGGAGAGCTGCATGGGGAGCATGTTCGATGAATGTTGCCCTCGCTCTCAACTGAACCGTGTTCCAAAACAGCTCACGCAACGCCTCGGAGGACCCACTACCGCCCAACGGTGCCGCCTTCGCAACGAACCTATGTGACGTGCGCAAGTGCCAGCGATGATCTGATCTGGACCAGCGTAACGCGCAAGGCGATTGAACTAATCAACAAGGTCCACACTAATTAAACTGGCACAATATGTAATATGATTCTCATGTTCAGACGTCGATGGGTACCCGACACTCCGCAGCCAGCGCAAATTCGATGCTGTTGCGTGTCCCTAAACAAATTGTCTGTATGGGTCCTCTTCGGGGATCTACTGACCCGGGTCAATCCAGACCCGGGTCAACCTGGCATTGAAGGATCCTGCAGGATCCTGCGCCCTGACCCGGGTCAATGCACCCCTGGCTCTGTCTGCAGGATCCTGCAAGATCTGGCGCTCTGGCGAACGTTCTTATTCGGCGTTTCGACATTGCGCGGTGCGCGGAAGGGGGGGAGGGAAGGGGGTCTGGCTCTGGACGTCTGCTTCATACGACTGTTTGCATCGGTGCGTCCCTCCTATGGGGGAGACTCTACCTGCTTGAAGCAGGCGCTTCAAACAGCCGCGATCTACTCCATAAGGGGGGTGGGGGGGCAGTGCCCACCGGCAAAACAAGCTTCTCGAACCCTCGGCGACGGGACCCTGTTTGGAACGGCCTAAATGCAGCCAGCTCTCTGCGCTGACTCCCCGACCACTCTGCCTGGCTCCGAGGGGTCTGCGGAGGTCCGGGCAGGTCCTGGGCCCGAGCGGACACTTCGAGCCCCCGGCCCCCCCGGGAAGCATCCAGGGCGCCTCAAGAGGCCCCGCAGAGGCTCCGGGAAGCCTCCCTGAGGCCCCCAGGACGCCCCAAGGGGGCCCGCGCTGGTCGGCGCAACAGTGAATAAGAAAACGATCACCTGGGTGACCCCCGTTTGCAGTGACCCCCGTCTCCTGAACCCCGACCTAACTTTGGGTCGGGCGTGTCCCCCTACGGGGGGATTTTGGACGAAACGTTAAAAATAGTCAAAACATATCCCCAAAGATTTTTAACAATATTCAAAAAATATCCCCCCGACAATTTTTCAACTATTTTTGAATACACCTCCTGTAGAGGGACACGCCCGACTTAAACCTAACTCTAACTCTGCTGAGGCCCGGCCAGGGGGGGCACGAGCGCCCCCGAGGCCGGTGGCCTCTCGTGCCCCCCCTGCCCGCGGCTGCGCAAGGCCGTGCCTTGCCATCGCTCGGGCGTCCACGAGGGAGCCCAGGGATATGCAAAGAAATACACACAAATCCCTGGATGCCCCATAGTTTCATAATCTTTTCTGTCTGGGGGTTCGTCTTCCCCCCGGCTTCCCATAATTCTGGAGTCCCACCCAGCCCTTTAGGGCGCAGGTGGTTTGGGGTGTTCCCTGTTCCACCCCGTCCTTCCCCTTCAGGGAGGGGCTGATCCCTCCTCCGCCCTTCTCTCCTGGACCTGGACGGGGCGTTTCGCGAGCGGCCAGAGCGTCCAAAACGGCCTCGGCGAGGAAGCCCAAATCATTGTTTTTTCTATGGTTTTGGCCCCATTTTGGCCTCCTGGGGGGGCGATGCTCACTAAGGAACCCCCGTGTTTTGATCGATCTCCTCCGAGATGGCCCGCCCGCCCCACGAACGCTCTCAAGGCTCCCAAGGGTGCCCCAAGAGGGCCCCAAGATGTGGCCGGGAGGCCCCAAAAGGCCCCCTAAGAGGCCCCCAGGATGCCCCCCAGAGGCTCCTAAGAGACCCACAAAAGGCCCCAAATAGGCTCCCCCCCAAGACGCTCCAAGAGGCCTCGGCGAGAATGCCAAAATCCTTTGTTTTTGGTTACCAAGGTTTTGGCCACATTTGGGCCTCCTGGGGGGGGCACTGCTTAAGATGACTGCGAGAGCGCTTGGGGGAGCCCAGGATAACCTCCAAGATGGCTCAACATTGTATCCCCAGATGCTTCAAAATGGCTCCCACGATGCCCCAAGAGGCCTCAAGACCGCTCCAAGACGGCACCAAGTGGCCAAAAAACTCCCCAGGAGGCCCCGAAGAGGCCCAACTCTTTCCAAAACCTGAGGACAATTAATGTTTTGGGTTTTCCCGCCGTTTCGCTTCCGATGGCCATCCGGGGCTTCACGACGGCTCCAAGATGGCCCAAGAGGGCTCCAAGAACGCTCCCAAGGATTCCAAGAGCGCTTCAAGAGGGCCCCAAAAGGCGCCCAGGAGGCCCCAGGGGACGCCCAAGAGGCTTCCAAGAGGCTCCCAAGAGACCCCCAAGAGGCCCCAAGAAACTTTCCGAGGAACCCAAGACGCTCTAAGAGGCGCCCGGGACCGCCAAGAGGCCCCCAAAACGCTCCAAGAGGCCTCCACTGGGGGACCCTTCCTCCGTGTGCTGCCCACTTCCCTGATCGAGGCAATCCCTCTGGGCATCGTTTCTGGACGGGCTGGTGGGGTTACTTTTTGTTCGCAACCGCAAGCGGGCAGCCGCGCGGCGTCGTGGAATCGCACGAAAAAACAAGCCTACAGCGGGCAGGACAGAGGCCCACAGTGCAGCAGGCGAGCGCGGAGAGAGGCAAAATTTGAGGCGGCAGCAAGTCGGGCAGGACCGAAACCGAGCGCGGGCGGCGAACGGACAGCAAAAATGGGCCATGCGACTTAGCTGGTGGGGTTACTTTTAGGTCAGCGGCCGCAAGCGAGCGCGCCAGCGGCGAATCCAGTCAGAGCGGGGCGCGCAAAGACGAATTAACCTAAAACGGTGGGCCGGAGCCTCACGCAGCACCTCAGCGGCGGGCCAGCGAGTGGAAAAGGCTGGCGGTAAACTTGATAACGATACTGCCAGGGCGCACGCATGCAACGCGTCGGAAGCAGCAGGTGGCCAGGGAGACCGGCGACTAGGGACTGCAGCAGACAGGAATTAGTTGCAAGGGCGCAAGCCCCCGGACTACTACGAAGGTACCAGGGCGACCGCAGCCAAGTGAACCGACTGTCGTAAGTCGAAAAGGCTGGTGGGGATACTTTTTGTCAGCGGCCGCAAGCGAGCGCGCCAGCGGCAAGTCCAGTCAGAGCGGGGCGCGCACAGACGAATTAACCTAAGGCGGTGGGCCGGAGCCTCACGCAACACCTCAGCGGCGGGCCGTCGAGTGGGGGCCACCAGTACTGCCAAGGTCGCGCGCAACGGGTCGGAGGCAGCGGGCGGCCAGGGTAA